CAATTCCAATTTCCTTTTGCAGGCGGGGTGCTCTCCATCCATGGAAGTGAGTTATGTGTGTTCAAGTGGTGCATCTTATGAATCTTGTTAAGCTTTGCTGCCTTATAGCCCCACTGATGGAATATTTAATCACAGAAATGAGTTGGCAGATATGATATACAACGTGGGTGAGCTTTGCAGTGTGTATCTTACTGGCAATTGAGAAACAGATAAATTCACCGTTTGTCAGCACCATGCTGACAACTTTGTATAACCTTCTGTTATTTATTTTGATTTTGCTTTACTTATTTATGAAGATTAAAGGGGCCATAAATCAACAGTTTCATTGGCTGGATTCCGTGATTATCTTTAAAAGATACTACTTTTAAATATATATATATTTTTATTAGAAGACACGGGAAATTCTCACAATGACAGGGGAAGTGTAAGAATCCCCTCTGAGGCCTCTTACTCCAGATTCTTGGAAACACTATTTTTAATTACACTAAATAACACGAGGCCTGCTACTGGGTACAGATATTCCCAGTCTATTTCTCCTTACTGCCTTCAATTTTACTTAAACTCTAAAGAAGGGCCATAGACATGGGCCAAAGGCTTCATAACTCACCTGGATTTGTGTGTGGGGACTTATCCTCATATGTCTTGAATAAACCCCAAGGACTCTGGAGATGATTAGATTTAGAAATTATCAATGCTGTTCTTGCTTTACAGAAAACCACCCATCTCTCCTGGGAGAAGGTGTATATTAATATTTGTCATGGGATGTGCTTATGTATGTGTATCTGTCTGAACACTGGCACGGCATAAGCATTTAGAAGGGTTTTTATAAGTATGACTTGATGAGAATTCAGAAAAGAAAAATCATCCAAAATATATTAGAAATTTCTAAATGCTTCCTTTGCAGTGCATGTGTGAGGGAGAAGGAATGTCATAATTTATCAATGCAAATACTAATTAAAGGTCCTCATTAAGAAGTGCAATGGCTCTTCCTGCCCTCACCCTGAGTTTGTAGTAAAAATGTACTCCGGGAGTCAAAATGTTACATACAAAAATCAATAACTTGCCTTTTTTTTTTTTTTTTTTTTTTTTTTTTGGAGATGGAGTTTTGCTCTTGTCACCCAGGCTGGAGTACAGTGGTGTACAACCTTGGCTCACTGCAACCTCTGCCTCCCAGGTTCAAGTGATTCTTCTGCCTCAGCCTCCCAAGGAGCTGATATTACAGGTGCACGCCACCATGCCCAGCTAGTTCTTTTGTATTTTTAGTAGAAACGGGGTTTCGCCATGTTGGCCGGACTGGTCTCCAACTCCTGAGATGACTCTCCTCAGCCTCTCAAAATGCTGGAATTACAGGCATGAGCCACCACGCCTGGCCAATAACTTGCCATTTTATAATTAAAAGAGAAAGTAAATGGTTTACTTTCTCTTTTAAGTCTACTAAATTAGGAAAATTACCTTTAGGAGAGATTGAAAATATTGATTTTAATTTACAAAATATGTGAACTTTTCATGCCCCATTCCGAGACAATTGGAGGCTGGGTTGTTAATTCTGCATAAGCTTCAGAAAATCAAATAATTACACTATGGGGATATTACAAAAAATGTCATTAACACACAACCTTATATAGAGAAATGACTAATAAGTCTGGCTTTCTATCTTAAGCAGATACAGAGCCAGCCTACTAAAAATACAAAGCAAATCAATGACAAGGTCTTCATTTCAGCTTCTAGGCACACTCAGAATTGCAAGATAAATTCAGGCTATTTTTATAGCTAGGGAAATTTAAATGCCCCGTAAATTCTTAGGGATATGTAGATGCATGGCAGTAATAATTATACCTGGATATGGAAATGAATGCGCTCTGCATCTACCACTTTGCAGAGGTCCATTCCATAAATGCAGGTGCCTGAAACTTCAGATTTAAGCCAGCCAGACTTTCAGTGTTTGCAGCTCTTCAAATATTTCAAAGGAATTGCTCTGCAGTGTTAAAATTACAGCAACTTGTCCCCACATTTCTGAATATCGTGAGCTCTGTCTACCTACATACAAATGTACAGTTGAAAAGGAAAGTGTGTGGATTTTCCAGATAATCCAGATAGTGGCAGCATGAAACACAGACACTCAGATTTCTCAGGTAACACTTGTTGAATATGGTGGTGGTGGTGGCAGCTGGAATAATACAGAATGATTATGTTACTTCTCTTTCATTCCTTTGGTTTGCACACAGAGCAGTAACATGATCATAGGAGACAGTCGATGGAATCATGACCTTTAATATTAAGAAAAAAAAAAATGAACAGGCTGGGTGCATCACTTGAGGTCAGAAGTTCATGACCAGCCTAGCCAACACGGCAAAACCCTGTCAATACAAAAAAAAAAAAAAAAAAATTAGCCGGGCATGGTAGCAGGCACCTGTAATCCCAGCTACTCAGGACGCTGAGGCAGGAGAATTGCTTGAACCCACAAGGCGGAGGTTGCAATGAGCTGAGATGGTGAGATCGTGCCAGCCTGGGCAACAGAGCAAAACCATCTCCAAAAAAAAAAAAAAAAAAAAAAAAAAAAACACAACTCACCAGTATCAACTGGTTGTAAAGAACATGAATTCTGAGATGATCAAAGCCTGATTTCAAAATCTGGCCTCCTCCTGACCAGCTGTGAAATCTCAGAGCAGTAATACCAACTTTTTGTATTTTGGTTTCCTCATTTGGAAAATTGCCATGAGGATCAAATACATTAAAGTTATGTACAGTGCTTAGAACAGTGGCTGGCCCATAGAAAGTATCCAGTAAATATTAACTTACATTATAACATTTTGTCTTTCTCTAACCTAATGATCTAACTTCTGAGGCTGAGCCCTGGGCTAATCCAAATAGCTGCTCTAATGTTCTAGAAGTCATGCGGATTAATTCTCATATGTATAAATCGGTCTGAACCGTTTCTGTCATTTTAATGGTCCTCCTAAACACCCACAGATATGTTTGTGGCTTTGAAAGCACAAGTAATGGAGATAGTTGGTATTGTCTTCCTTACTAAACTCCATTGCACAGGATCAGAAAAATGTAAAAATGCATTTCTCCCTCTTCACCACAACGCACGCATCCATACCCTTCCTCCCCACAAGAAAGCTTACTTGTTCTCCACTCGGCTATTTTAGGCTGAAAATATGCACTCGGATATGCGCATATAGACAGAAACTGATATTTCTTTAACTTCTCCACTCATGGGCAGTGCTTGCTGCAGAGATATAGAAGCTGTTGTCTGACTTTTCAACCATTTGGGGGATTTGATTTCCTTGCAGCTTTGCACAAAGATGCATCCCAGCAACACATGCCATGTTCTGTGTGTCCCCTGAATAAACTACCATGCCCCTGATCCCAGAAATTAACCCCTAAATGAACATGCTGAGAACTAAAGGACTCGTACTCTCATCAATGAAGAAAAGAATCTCTTTGTCTCACAGTATACTTAGAATTTAGCGGAATATGCGGCTAACTTTCCCTTCCTGGCAAAGCGATTAACATATTCATTTTTGTTTACTAAACGTTTACGGGGGCTGGCTACACACCACTCTTCATATATTAACACATTTAATTCTAATAAACACCAATCAGTTTGTTACTATCATCTCCATTTAACAGATGAGGAAACTGAGGCACAGAGAGGTAAAGTAACTTGCCCAGGGTCACACTGCTAGTGAGTAGGGGAAGCAGAATTTGAACCTGAGCTGTGTAGGCATGGTTTCCATGTTCCTCGCTCAGTAGAGGTGTCTTCTCAGGAGGGTGGGGTTCACAATATGATCATGGAAAGCCTGACGGCTAAGACTGTTATCCCATAAGACTGAACACAGCTATTTTGCAGCGTTAGAATCTCTGGACTTAATCCAGGCTCCTGGTAAAACTCACACATGAAGAACAACTCCAAACATCGCCTACGTAAAATCCAGGAATCAGTTATCCTGTTGAGCCTTTCCAGATTTACCACATTTTTTAACTTAAATTTTGTCAGACTGGTTGTTGTGCCAGAGTAGCTAAGTTTTCTATGTTCCCTTGTCATCTACAAGGGTCAGTGTTTAGTATCAGGAAAATGACAAAAGTTAGGCAGCCCAGGAAGAAACAAAGCAAGGGGTATGACTTACCGTCAAGAGGTTACTAAGGGTGTGGTTCTAGATCAATGGATTATTTGTTTCTCCTTATTAAAAAGCAAAAGCCACATCAAAGACTTCTTTTAAATATCCATGTGGCAAATCTACTTCTAAAGTCCTAAGTATTGAATACAGCCTTGTTCAGGAGCAAGGAGACACACAGGCAGTAGTGAGGGGCCAAGCCTAGGACATCAAGACATGACATCTCAGTCGCTACTGCTTCTAGGTTATGCTCTCCCCAAATTTCTAAGAGAATGGAATTGGTGCTTAGGCAGGGAAGGGGTGGGGTGAGGAGAGAGACATATTCTGGAAGGCAAAGTAGAGAGAAAAGGAATTACTAAGGGAAATTGATTAATGAACGAAGACAGACAACTTATTTTTTTTTAGTTATCGAAATAGGCCTTCCCTTGGCAATTCCAAATCACTCCTGCATTACTGGAATAATGAAGCCAACTGAGCTCTCTGCTTTGCCAGGAAAAAGAAAATGCCAACCCCAAATGGAAATGTATGGCTACAACACACATTCAGGCACATTGAAATACAATGGGCGCGAGCAGCTCTCCATTTGTTCAATACACTATTGAACAAAGTCACAATGCTTTTTTTAGGGCAAAATCAATGTGAATTCTCCTAAGGAACAGTGGCTCCATGCTGACCCCCCCAACCACAAAACTTACACGATTCCCTTGTAATTTTTAAACTGTTTAAAGCACTCTTGATTTTGCCCAAAGAAATCATTCCGAACTTGTTAGGATAGGAATTCACTTCCTTCAGGTTATTTTACAAAACCCATTCATCCTTGGCAGGCAAAGCACATTTAGAAAAGACCGAGAAGACTTCGTGCAAAGAGAAACTCTTTACCTGCATAGAATTCGGGACTGTAGACCGCACCCACAACTGGATTCAATTTCCAGCCTTAAAACAAACACACAAAAACATTATTATCACATTTGATTCAACATCTTATATAATTGCAAATGAATCACAAATCAAATGGGTTAAATTATCTTATTTTGTATTTTAAAATGTACAGGAGGTGTTGTTGGGGCAAGTATAAAAATATTTAAAAATCATAAGAAAATAGATTCATGCCCTTCTTTGATTTTCTGCCAGTGCAAGTTAATGGAATGGAAACTACTGACCAGCCACAAGTGAATCCTTTGAAAATGACATGGTAATTAATTTTCTACTCTATCAATATTTTTTAGAACTACTATAATAATTTCAATTTTTTGTCTTCATATATCACTGCTAGATAATCCATCACACCGCTCTGCATTAAGTTCACAAAAATTAGAAAGCTTGCATAAACAAAATTCTTGGCAGCAATATATTCTAACAATTGTCATTCCTAATTATAACCTCAAGATACTAGAGAATTCCAAAGTGCTTCGTGAAGACCAAGAAAATGATATTTTATCCCCTAGAGATTTACTGTGGAATACATTTCAATGCATTCAGGAGCCGTAAAAAATTTTTAATCAATGCATGATATCTAAGGTAACTTTCAAATAACCTGCATATATGATGAATGGAATCCTGTAATTTTCCAAATGTTCTGGATGGAGAGGTTTTTGTAAAATGAATCCTGGCCCTTTAGAAATCTTTACTCACAAAAAAGAGCATACAAGAATATTCACAAATTGGAAAGCACATTACATATATGCTGGGCATTACTTAGGGAACAATTTCCAGAGAATGATCACGTTTTAGGGTTTTGTGATTGCTTCCTGCTCCTGCTGGTTAAGCCTTTATAAAAGCATCCATGCCGGAGCCGGGTGCGGTGGCTCACGCCTGTAATCCCAGCGCTTTGGGAGACTGAGGCAGGCAGATCACGAGGTCAGGAGTTTGAGACCAGCCTGGCCAACATAGTGAAACCCCATCTCTACTAAAAATACTAAAAGTTAGCCAGGCGTGGTGGTGGGCACCTGTAATCCCAGCTACTTGGGAGGCTGAGGCAGGAGAATCGCTTGAACCTGGGAGGCAGAGGTTGCAGTAAGCTGAGATCACGCCATTGCACTCCAGCCCAGGTGACAGTGCAAGACTCCGTCTCAAAAGAAAGAAAAAAACTCCATGCAGGCCAGACACGGTGGCTCATGCCTGTAATCCTACCACTATGAGAAGCCAAGGCAAGCAGATCACTTGAGGCTAGGAGTTTCCAGAGACCAGCCTGGCCAACATGGCAAAACCTTGACTCTACTAAAAATACAAAGTAGTACCAACTAATAAGGCTGAGGCACGAGAATCGCTTGAACCCGGGAGTCAGAGGTTGCAATGGGCTGAGATGGTGCCACTGCACTCCAGCCTAGGTGACAGGGCGAGACTCTGTCTCAAAAAGAAAAAAACCATGAAAGATAGAGGAGGGTAAGGTGTGTACTCCTTTTGCTCTGAGTCCTTGAGCAGAGGATCAAATACCAAAGATCCTTTAATAAATGTTTCTGAGAAAAGGCAATGATAAAAGTTTGAAAGTGAAGGAAGGTATTTTTGACAGTAAGAACTCCCTGTGGTTTGCAGAGAAGAGAGAGGTGTGATTTTCTGCCCCACCTAAGAATAGACCAGAGGTGTTCCTAATATCCACTAAGGAAAACGGAGTCTCACTAACTCAACAGGCCAGTATGTCTGTTGAAATCCAGAACTTTCTAAAACTTGATAAGAATGTTTTCTAAGAGCTTTCAATTGCAACTTGAAGAAGCTAGGTGGTTTACAGCCCCTGGGTTGATCTTGGAATAGTTTCTCAAAGTGTTAACACTTCAATTACCTGGGAGGCATATTTAATTCCTAGGCCCCATTTTTAGAGCGACAGAAAGAAACATGAAATTCTGAGACCTATTGCCCTACCGGTTTCTGAAATTCCATACTGACGCCCTTCTCTCTTGTATTAATCACATCTTGCCTTATAAGAATTTCTATAGTGATGGAAAAATAAATATTAGTTCAGACATTTTAGAATGTGTTTTATGAGTATGGAAATGACTTCAATTTGACCAACTGAAATTCCACTGCTTTTTTTTAAAAAAAAAAGTCCAATTCCTGAGGATATGGAAATTAATGTCTACGTTTCAACTTGGAGTCTAAAAAAAAGTACAAAAAACTAGTTGAAAATAAAGCTGCAGACATTTAATGTTCTTTCTAGTTTTTCACAGAAACCTAGAATTTGTGAACTCAATCTATATGGGGTCATGAATAATTATTAAGTGATCACTCTTCATCTTTCTACTGTTCATGTCATACCCTACTGATGCTCCTACCTCTTATTGGTAGTGGAGATGGTGTCTTTTCCATACTGTTCATCTCAGGTTTTGTTTTTTGAATATCCTTACTACCTTAAATACTTTTTTCTGCATAGAAGACTTGCTTTTCCTTTTCATTGAAGGTATACTTATCAATGAATTTTGGTGTAACTCTTAAAGATTGTAAATTTGCCAGTGGCCTCTCATTTTTCTAAAAATAAAACAAAAAAATTACAGATCTCTCAGAGGCATTTAAGGCTGCCTAGAAATCATATTTTATCTCATCTGTCTACCTATGTATCCATCTATCTACTGACCTTCCTATCTATAAACATACCTATAATCTATCTATCCACCTATAATCTGCTGTTTGTTTCCCTGTCTTTCTGCAAGTTATGAGTTTGCGAAGTCTACCCACGGCAATCTCTTCATAAAAAAAATAGAAAACAAATGATATTCTCATATTCTCCCTCATCAGGAGATCTGTGCTATCTCATGTTTGCAAGTATCAGTTGTGAGAAATGTAATTGATAAAGTCTCCTCTACAAGAAACCAACTGGGAACCTGTGTGCCACAAAATGAAATGCTCTGGTCATTATGGGAACATGAGTGCAGATGTCAACCTTCTTCCCATCCTTGATCCCTTCTAAACAAGGCTACCCCACTCCCACTGTAGGAAACCAAAGTCCTTTCTGAACTCTACAAGGCATGTGAAAACCCAACTTCTAGTCTCCCTCTTCTCCCTCTACTCATGAAACCTGTTACTCAGCAAGTCTTTCTCCCTTCAGCAAACGGCATCTCCATCTACTTGGTTGCTCAAAATAAAATTCTTCATCAATACTTCCTTGATTCCTCTCTTACCCTCATACCCCATGTGCAATCCATTAGAAAATTCTGTTGCTTAAAACTTGAAAAGTTCTTCCCTCCTTCTCCATTGCCACCACTACAGACCAAGGCATTCCCATCTCTGCTTGGACAGGTCCAACAGCAGAAATGCCCCAGTTCTCACCATCTCCTCTTCCTCCTCCTTCCCCCATGTCCATTCTGGTCATAGTGACCAAAGCAATTTTTAAAAAGAACATCAGCTTTGTCATCCTGCTACTCAGAATTCAATAGCTCCTTCCCAACTTAAGATCAGCACACATGTCTTACCTTAGTCAAAAAGCACACACTGACTATTAACCAAACTATTTGGTACCACTTTGGTACCATTTCCCTTTGTTTCCCTGTCCCCTTCTCTCCCAGCTACAGTGATACTGGCCATTTTCATGTTTATAAAACCCCCCAAGATCACCGTATATCAAAGTCTCTTTGTATCCACTTCTCCTTATCCTTGGAGAACTCTCTAGTTCTTCACAAAGTCGACTTGATGTTATTTAGGGCTCTGGAGTCTTTTCAGAACATGCCAGTTAATGTCACTTTCCCACCTCCTCTTAGAGTTACTCTTGGATTCCATGATTCCATTCCCAGTTTTATTTTCTGCATTGCCGTTAATGCTATCTGGATTTAACTTCTTTCTTTGCTTGCTCTTAATTGTCTTTTATAACCATTCTCCCTCATCAAAATGAACAGTCAAGCAGGCAAGACTGCTGTCCAACATGAATCTCCAGCACCTAAAACATTGTTTGGCAAAGTAAGCATTCCATAAGTATTTACTTGGTTTTTCTGTAAATAAAGGAATATAGAGTTTTTTCCTAAGAGACTAATTTTTTTTTTTTTTTTGGCTCTGATTATGTCTCCTTCCAATCTTCAAGGACCTGCTTCACATAGGGTTATATATTAAATAAAGAATCCTGTTAGGGATGACTGTTGTCCCGGTTGATTAGTTGAATTACTTTTTTGATGTAGGCATTTATTGCTATACACTTTTGGATTAGCACTGCTTTTGCTGTATCCCATAGACTTTGGCATGTCATGTTTCCATTTTAATTTATATCAGAAAATTTTAAAATTCCTTCACTGACCCAGTGGACATTCAGGAGCACACTGTTGAATTTCCAAGTATTTGTACAGTTTCCAAAGTTCCTCTTGCTATTGATTTCTAGTTTTATTCTATTATGGTCTAAGAAAATACTTGATATAGTTTAAATTTTTTTTAAATTTATTGAGACTTGTTTGGTGGCCTGACATGTGGCTTACCCTGGAGAATGTTCCATGTGTTGATGAGAAGATGTACTCTGCAGCTGTTGGATAAGGTATTCTGTAAATGTCAGTTATGTCCATTTGGTCTAGAATCCAGCCCTTGAAAATCACCTCCATTCAGACTTACAGAGCTCATGTAGACTTATGCAAATGCATGCAAATCACATGCAAATGGACCCACATTCCCTGTGACTCCTTCTCGTACCTGAAAGAGACCCTTGGGATAACCCTGCTGGAGATAAGAGCCTGCACTGTCAGGAAGATGAACAAAATGATCCCATTTTTAATTTCTTAGGCAGTTTGTGTATGTCCCCAGGCCTTGCAAATTCAGAGATTTTGATCAAGGACATTAAACTGAACAATGAGGCTTACAACAAAAGGAGAACAGCTGATAAGGCTCACTGGTCCCAGCCTCCCAGGGCCCCTCCAGCCCTGCAACAAGGCAATGGAGCAGACACCAGACGTCTTGGGGTCTGGCTCTATCAGACACACAAGCAGTTTAGACCCCTCTGCAGCCGGGACTCAAGGGGCTATATCCGAATTGGCACTCCCCTCCCCAAATTTAGCTTGTCACAGGTCAAGTGTCAGCATTTCTAAAATAAGCTGGCTAACACCTATATTAACTATGTTAACTATGACTGCATTGGGTGTTAAAAGACCAAGTCTGAATGTTCACACAAAAAACATCAGCACAGGCTTTCTCTAAGGCTTCGCTGGGTTACATATCAAAGGAATGCATTCCAGAGAGCATCCTTATGTACACTACAGGAGTTACAAAAACTGCCTGTCAATGCTTTCTAAAGACATATACTAAAGATGCCAGAGACCTGGCAGCTGACACGGTACAGGAGGCAACTCTCAAATACCAAACAAAAAGAAACGAGGTGTGCGTTGGGTACAAAGGTGTTTTGTTTGGGTTCACTAAGTATTCTTTAATGGTGTGTGTTTATTGCCAACATTTAAATTCCGTCTAAAATACGGGATTTCTATTTCTCTTGAAACATTGGTAGAAATGGTAACTTTAAGCTGAGAATCCCTCATAGACAGACTTATTAGAGGTGACCAGGGGCTACTGCATTTAACTCCCCACTTAGTCACATGTGCCACTGCTCCCCATCGTGAGCCTGATGGGGATATCAAATGTTTGAGATCTTTTATTGTTACTTTGTGGTGGTAGTGCTGTTAATTTTTCCTTGTAGATAAATATTTTGCTTTACTTCAGTAAGGAAACGATAGCCAGTCCCAAAAGACTGAGTTTTTCCAAGACTCTCTATTTTACCTGTTCAGCCCCTTTTAGCATCTGAAGAATTGATCCTTAAACTAGTATCTATCAGGGAATTCAACTGTCCATGACAATAAAGGAATAATATTTACAATTGAGACTGGGTAAGCAAATACTACTGGGCTATAAATAGTAGTAAAAAAAATCTTTTAGGGCGCTTTGCATGCCTAGCATTGTGTTGAGTACTTGAGCTCTCATAATTATCACAAAGAACTATGATGTAGTTCCCATCATTTGTTTGGTTCCCACTAGAGGGCTGGCACGTGGAGAGTTGAAACAACTTGCCTACAATTCAACAGCCAGTGAATGGCAGAACTGATACTGGCAACGAAGTCTACCCCTCTCTGGAGTCTTGGATATGTTTGCCCCATTTTCATCCTTCCTAACATCTCTAAGAAAATGAAAAAGCCATGTCTAGCACCCATGCTTCCCCAGTATGCAGGAAATCCTTGTGAATTCAGCTCTCAGTCTTGTAATGCAGATCCAACATCTGATCCCCAAAGAATACAGCAAACCCCAACTCCTCCGCATGGGTAGGTGTCCTTAAGAGAAACAGCAATAGAGAAATAGTCCAATTCCCTCTTTGTGGAACCTTTCAATAGAACATCTAGAAGCCTACAGCTCATTCTACAGCTTTTCCTTATGTCATTGTTTAAATATCCTGAGAATAGTATCCACACCCTCTGTTACTAACTATAAACCTCTCTGACAGGTATCCCATCACAGTTAGAATTCAGTCTTTTTTATCAGTGGCAACTTTGCAGCTGCTAAAACTTTTTCTGGATGTGATTGAGGTAATGTATGAATGTGATGCTGGCATTGATAACTATATTTCATCACCTGGAGATGACCTGAAACTTTGATAGCTCTAGTAATTTATAATTTTGCTGAAGTACAATTTCTATGCTTTGAGAGAATGAAATATGAAACTAATGAGTGAACCTCACCGATGGCTTAATTTTCTCATTTCAGTGTGACTTTATTGGTACTGACTTACCCTCTTTTGCCATAAGTCTATCCTCCTGCCTATTAAGGATTTGAGAGGGCCCTATATTTTATCAGTAATATTGTATTGCCACTTAAGGGAATGTACTTGTAGTGGCGATACTCATGAGTTGAAACTTGGGACTACTTTTCTTTGAATACCAAAGTTCTCCATAATCTCCACTACAGAAGCCATAGTCTTTATATAATTAGAATTGACATTTGTGTTTTAAATAAATTCTACTGTGTCTATCCATCAACTCCTTAGGTGCCATACTCAGTATGTGTGACAGGAACAATTCTGAGTTCCCTTTTGCAGGTACATGGATGAGAGACCTGTATGACTGACTTAATCCTGGAAACTGAGTGCACGGCTACCTGGAATGGGACATGGGATGTGCAAGGCAACATCTGGCAGCAACACGAGGTTGCACATTTAGCAATTTTTTTGCTATTATAGTTGGTTGCCACTTGAGTGCATTTCTCCAAGAAGACAAAGGGAAAGTGATGCCTGATACACACACGCAGGCATGGTCACAAGATTTTGTTACTTCATAATAAAAAGAAAATGCTAGGCCAGAAGTGGTGGCTCATGCCTATAATCCTAGCATTTTTGGAGGCCAAGACAGGCCGATTGCTTGAGCTCAGGAGTTCGAGACAAGCCTGGGCAACATGGTGAAATTTCATCTCTACAAAAAGTAAAAAATGAGCTGGGCATTGTGGCACATGGCTGTAGTCCCAGCTACCAGGGAGGACTGCTTGAGCCTGGGAGGCAGAGGTTGCAGTAAGCCAAGATTGTGCCACTGCTCTCCAGTCTGGGTGAAAAAGTGAGACCCTGTCTCAAAAATAAAAAATAAAAAATAGAAAAAAGCTTTATTACTTCATGTTCTCTACCCTCAATGTTGCATCTCTAAAGTAGGGATAATCATGTCCTCTTTACAGGACTTCATTTGTGTCTAGTGCACTTAAAATGCCTCACATAATGCATACCTCATATTCCAGAAAGGCTAGTTATTTATAAACGGGCTTTGAATTGTGTTTAAAAAATCCTACAGGTCTAGTTTTCAGTCCCTGGGCATAAAATTGATCAATAACTCTTTTAAAATAAATATACATGCACGTGGCTTATGGAATAATATTTGGCTTTTCTTGCTCTAGTTTCTCACTTGACACACATGAGCAACTAGTCATATACAGGCTGGCATGTGCCTGGGCAACTGTGCAACTTTGTAATTAAAGACTGCCCAACCGTCAGGTTGATGTCACCATGTTTTAATTCTAGCAAGTTTCAGAGTCACTGCTTTTACCCAAGTAGAAAGGCTGTATGACACATAAATCAGGTTTGCTTCAGTTCCACACTGGGCATTAAAAGTCTGGTGTGAAGATAGTCTATACCATTTAAGGGCATGTCTTGGTTGCTAAAGCTGAGAAAAATGGTCAGCAGAATAAGCAATTCTTCTGGTCTTTCAACTTAGAGCCCTATTATATAGATGGTATATCCCTGTTTAATGATGCCCCTTTTAAAATGAAGAGCAAACTGACTGTCAAATTGGTAGTCACTGGCAAAGAAATAGGAAAAACAAAACTACCAAGTGACAATACATTGCTAATCACAATAAAACAAAACAATGATCTAACAATCAGTATTTAGTTCTGATTGAACCCATTTATGTTTTGTGCAATATTATGTAACCACTGAAATGAATTAGTCTAATCTGTATATATTGAAAGAACTCTATATAGATTTATAAAAACCCAATTATCAGGTGTATCATGATATTATTCACATAAAAACGTATACAATACTGTGAATACTACAAATGAACACCTATTACGTGCACAGGCATGAATACACAAAATAAAACTAGACAGCAATCTGTAATTGTGGCTTCCTGTGATGGGGAGGTAGGAAACCAGGGTGGCAATGGAGTTAATTAAAATATATTTTAGACTTGTCTTTAATGTTGCTTTTAATTTTTTTTTTTACTTTTAAAAAGTCTATCTCCTTGTGCAATTAAAACTTTAGAAGTATAAAATTCCATATATCTCCTTTTGATGTAATAAAGTTATATTATTTTCATAAACCTGAATCAAAGAAAAAATGTCAGTCTCACAATTTAACACAACAATTAGCATTTTGGCATGTTATCATTTATCTAAAGTTATGCTATAAACATTTATTTCAATTTTTTAATTATGAGACCCTTTATGGTCTGTATCCTGCTCATTTTAATGGGCATAATATTCTACCCTGTGTCTATACTTCAACTTCATTGCTTTAATTTTTGGTACAATTAAGTATGTGCTTAACATAGTGGCAGCTTTCTCCCCCATATATCTTAAGAGATACTTATTTTGAGAAGAATTAAAGAATAAAAATGTTTGAACATTTTTAAATGACTCATATGTGAATGCTTTTTAGGAGTTTTCAGAAGTTTTATTGATAAGAACAGAAATGGCATTGTCCTCATGGGGTCTGCAATACACAGCAACATTCTCAACTAGCCCAAAATAACACTGAGCAGCCCAGAGAGGAACAAATAACTCACGCCCACGTTCTGATAACCGTGTGGAATTCAGACATGAGGTATCCTCCAAACCACTTCAAATGCCTAATCTTTCTGGAGAAGACTCAAAGACAGAAAAAATTATGTGATTGCACCTCCAGGAATGATGAGTAATCAACGAGGAGATGGTGTTGAAAAGCAAACAAGCGAAACCTCCAATTCTCCCCTCAACTTACTGTAACAACCAATTAAATTATCAAACTAATTTCCAAATAATTGCTGTATCTCAATCCCAAACAAGAGTTATTCCAGAAAGAAGGAAAAAAGGGCATACACACTTAACCTGAACATCCCATTTGCCTCTGTTGTGAAAATAATCTTATTGATGTAGGTGGTTCACTGTAGCAGCAGGTCAGTAGTAAAAACAGTGTCAATGCCCAGCAAACACAGCTTGTTGTAATAGAATCTCTGGTTAAACTACTTGAAGAGTTAGAGGTAGAGAGAATTTCTTGTAAAAGATCAATCTCTACTTACCATTTGTATAAGGGTTGACGGTCTTTTTATTTGTCATTACACGTGCTGTGGCATTATTTACCTATGTACATAGAAAACTCAAATAAGCACATATTCTAGGGCCAGCTCCCAATTCAATTAGTTGCATGCATTATGACCGTGATTACTTATTAAAAAAAGAAAACTGAAAACTAAAATGCATTTTAATTTATAAAAGGCAGTAGGTGCATAACAAAATCATACATTTTTAAAATTATATGTACTTCATAACCATTTAACTTACAAATCATTTCAATAAAGCAATGTCATATCATTAAGAGTTTAATAAAGAGACAGTAAAAGCAAATTAAAAGATACTGCATAATTGAAGATTTAAAAGCATGCGTGTACTCCATGGTAACACAGAAACAATATTTTTTTAAACATAAAATAAAATTTATATGAAGGAGCATGCAGTGGAGAAGAGAGAATAGACAAGGTACAAGGGAACATAAATGTCAAAAAAAGGGACAAACAAGTCTTAGCCGTGTGCAACACTTTAAGAGGAAAGAACCATCAGGAAAGCAACATCTAGCATTCAACACTTGGAACAAGAGCCTTTTACATCGCAAGAATTAACAAAATCATTCAAGCTTTAAAGTCACAGCTAACAAAAGGATAAAAGAGAGGGTGCATTGTTTAACACAATATGGAGTTAACAATCTGAGTAAGATGTGCACCGGTCATAACTCAATCCAGTCAGTGCCTCCCAGGCTAGCTTAGAACGTACACTCAATTACAGGCGTACCAATATCCAAAAAAATAGAGCATCAAGAAAACTTAATACGACAAGTCAAAAAAATTCACGTGGTATATATATGTATATAGATATATCAGCACTAAATACGTGAAACGGCAGATGGACTTCACCACTTACCATTCACCACCATCGCCAGCATGGGTTTGTATACAGTTACCATGGTTACTGAGAGTTTGGTGAGGGGCCTAAGCGTTATCGTCGAAGGGGAAAATGAAAGGCAAAATATGCAACATCTTACTCCAAAGACTAAAGCATTTGTAACTGGTATTTAAAAAAAAAAAAAATTAACAAATATGACCCTGTGGCTATGTTGTGGGAGATCCCAGTGGCACAAATAGCAGACTCTGAGTGTCAGTATTTTGGTATTTATGCTTTCAGTGAACAGGGGCCAGATATTGAACAGGAAATCCTGTTTGGTTATTCACTTTGTTATCAAAAGAATACAGAAATTCAAACTGGCTTCTTAAAAAAAAAAAAAAACAAAACAAAAAATATAATCTTTTTTGCTTTCCCAATTTGGTTTAATTTGCAAACCACTGTGGATCCCTCTTCAACCCTGAAGTGGAAAGAAAAAGAAAAATAAACTGTTGTGTATTTTATTTGGTTTGCAACACTGTCTATTCTTTGGAACCTATTGCACCCATTGATTATAAAACATAGAAAATAACAACAACAACAAAAAACCCTTTCCGATTAACCTTTCTTCTGTCTCACGTTTGCCATCCACCTTTCAGTGGTAATAAGAGTAACATAATAAAGTAAAATTAAAAAAAAAAAAAAGTAAGGCCAGTTTTCCTTTTTATATATAAAAATATATATATATATATATATAAACAATGAGGGGGAATAGGGTCACATACAAGACGCCAATGATGCATCTGGAACAACGAATGAGCGTGAAGCAGACATTTATAAAAAAGATGAAAAGGAAAATATTTTGAACATGCACCTCGATTTTACGGCCCTCTACCACGGTGCCGTGTAATTTCTCCCTCGCCCTGTCCGCATCGGCACTATTTTCGAAAGTTACGAAACCAAATCCCTGCATGCAGGAGGGAGAAGGGAAAACAACATGCAGATTATTATTTCAGTCAACGACCACTTGGTAATGTTCTCTCGCTTTAATTTCTATTTCTTGTCCTGGCTTCAGTTCTGTAACATGCAAATTAGAGAAATTATAAGAGTACTGAGATGTGCAATAATTAAGCGACAAATGTGAACAAGATATTTTTTTCTGTCACCAGTTAGCTGTAACCCCTGAAGTATTCAAAGAAGGATACCAAAAATACCTTTCTAAATGTCACTACAGAAGAAAATAAATCTAACGAAAAGAAAGTGAGATCAAAATAAATTTACAGTGTCTTCACAGAGAATAAAATGAAATAACGAGGAAAAGAAAAGGGAACCACTTTTTTGACATGCAAATTAAAAATAAAATAAAATAAAACGTGTGCACGAAATTCAACAATGAATGCCAAAATCCTCTAACATTGCCTACAGAGTCATGCTGTGTGGTTTTAATAACATCTCTTCTTCATGCAGTTTTAGGGTTATTCAAATTTGTCAATTCTACAGCCTTTACTTCTCAAAAATAAAAGTTAAAAGCCTAAAAAAGGAAAGACCTTTTTAAATAACAAATCTTAAACTCTTGTCTAGTAAACAAAAAAGTCACATGAAATGAATAGAAATAAACTTCAGTTGAGTTATACAAACAATTCAATGTTTGTGATCATACTTTCCCCACTCTTCAAATTGCATACTTGCGTTTGAATCTGACAACCTTCCATCCTACTTTATTAACCAGAAAGGGAAAGGTGTACCCATATTGTAAAGTTCTGACATTAGGTCAATATTTACTTTTCATATCAACGGGTAGCAAAGAAACTTTATTAATAGAATGTAATTTGTAATAATATTCTGGCCACTTCCTCTTTTACGGATAGACAACATATATACCTTTTAATTTACCACAAGTACATTGGCTTTTAATATTTCAACCTCAAAAATCAACCCCACTAAATTATATTGTCAAAATCCATATTTTGTCTGCACTGACATTGTTCCTAAGTACAGAAAATATGACATATTAAAGCCCCTAAAAATATTTGTACATCTTGTTCAGAAATATACACCAACCTTTTGAACAATTTCCACATAAATATCCCCAGCTCTTTCTGATTGTTCACTGTAAACTGGGTGAAATCAAGCAATACGTTGGGGTTCCTTTCAGCATCAGATAATCTGTGTTGGCTCCAAGCACAGTTGGGACAGTGTAATACCCAGTTTTACTAAAGAAATGCACCATAATTACATGGTAGTTACAACCAACTGTTGATAACTTCCAATCCTACATTAGATCTCTATAATGACCTCCAAATTTAAGGCTAAAGAGGTATTGGACACAGGGTTGGGGAACATCACACACCAGGGCCTATCAGGGGGTGGGGAGCTGGGGGAGGGAGAGCATTAGGAGAAATGCCTAATGTAAATGACTAGTTGATGGGTGCAGCAAACCAACATGGCACATGTATACCTATGTCACCTGCACATTGTGCACATATACCCTGGTACTTAAAGTATAAAAAAACAAGAAGGTGTTGTCCAATGCGCTGGCTAAGGGAACTTTTCAACAGTCAGAATAGGCTCATCGGCCGCAGAGGACAGGTGATGTGGATGTATTCCAGTGAGGGCAGATGATTATTTGTCAGGATTCTATAGACAGCTGTACCTCAGTATCCACTACGGATTAGTTCCAAGACACCCTCGCCCCACATTCCCAAATCCTTGCATATTCAAGTCCCACAGTCACTCCGTGGAACGTGAGTATAGAAGAAAATCAGTCCTCTGTATATCGTGCAACGTGAGTATAGAACAACATCAGCCCTCTGTATATACGGGTCACACATCCTGGGAATACTGCCTTTGGTTGGAGAAAAAAATTCACGTGTAAGTGGACCTGCACAGTTCAAACCCGTGTTCAAGGGTGAACTGTATTGAGAAAAATAACGTTTCTTTAGGGGATTGAACCAAATTACCTTCCATAATCTTTCCCATGGTGAGGCTCTGTGATTAGGATAAGCCTAAATTACCTGATTCATTTAAGATTACTTGCTCCATAACAGAACGGGTCTTGCTTAGTCTTGTACATGCAGTATGCCCATATTGGGTACGCAAATACACTTGCTAACTGTATAGTTCGGAAATGATTGTTCTTCAAAGGGAAAAAAGACAGAATTGAGGGGGATTTCACTCAATTTGACAGTTCTAACTCTTGGCCAGTATCTATCAAACTTAGCCGCACATCAGAAGGAACTTGGTAGCACATTAAACATTGAGATTCCTGACCCTTGCTTTGGATCTACTGGATTAGAATCCCAGAGTGGAGTCCAGAAATGTGTTTGCTTAAAATGAGTGGCCCAGCGATTTGATTTCCATGACCTCTCATTTCACTATGTGTGATCACAACCATCAAAAGAAGGTTTTGGGCCAGGCATGGTGGCTCACACCTGTAATCCAAGCACTTTGGGAGGCCAAGGCAGGAGGATCACTTGAGCCCAGGAGTTTGAGACTGGGCTGAGTAACATGGCAAAACCCCATCTCTACCAAAAAAAAGAAAAAAAAGAAAAAATCAGCTGGGTGTAATGGTGTGCCCCTGTGATCCCAGCCTGAGCCCAGGAGATTGAAGCTGCAGTGAGCTGTGATCACACCCCTGGCACTCCAGCCTGGGTGACACAGCAAGACCCTGTCTCCCCCCAAAAAACAGAAAATAGCCAGGTGTGACAGCCTACACCTATTGTCTCAGCTACTTGGGAGGCTGAGGTGGGAACGTTCTTTGCTTGAGCCTGGGAGGTTGGGGCTGCAGTAAGCTGGGACTCTTCCCCTGTACTCCAGCCTGGGTGAGACCCTGTCATAAAAAGAGCAGGTTTTCATTCTTTGTAATAAGTGAATTTTGTATTCCTGATTTCTATAGATTCTTGACTATAGATTTTGACTCGGTTACTTAGAGCTTACATGTAGAGGCACACATAAAAACCGCATGTCCCAGGCTTCTTGGCAACATTCTCTTCCTCCCTGATGGGCCTGACTTCCTAGCAACCATAGCCATGCCACAGATTCCAAAAGGAATCAGAGAAACGAGAGCTTTGGATTTATATTCTCTCTAGGCAAGACAAGAAAATCCATAGCCCCACTGGTATAGCTGGAGGGTGAGGTGGTGCCATTTCTGCTGATGGGAACTAGCAGTCATTATTACCACGGCACCGGGAAGAACATAGCCAGGTGAGACTGAACACTCACCCACCTGTCCAACATTATCCTGCAGAATCTTGCTCTCATGCTTCACGTCTGAACCCAGAGCAAACCTACTGCCCTGAAATCAGCATCATGTACGTTTAGGAGAGACAAAGCCGCAAAGAGAAATACATTTTGAATCCCAAGGAAGGGGCACGAACTAAAAAGGAAATAGCCTGATCTATTCTCAAGTTCTCACTTTTTAAGCGAAGAGAATATATTAATTTTTTCTGATTATTCTCATTCTGCTAAACTTCTTTCTCTCTTGTTGGCTACTTGGTATTCCTCATTTAGAGTTGAGATTTGCCAAAGCTGGGTGCAGAAAGAACTCGCTCCAGACAGTCCTCAAAATGCCAAACAGACTTTCCTACCTGTTCCATTGGACAATTCTACCTCCCATCCAGAAAAGAAATGGCACGGCCTCCCTGGGTTAGCAGGTTATCAAAATTCTCACCTGGGGGTTGCAATGTAACCAGAAAGCCCTCACCTGGTCCTCTCCATGAGCAGGGAACCTTCGCTATGAAGCACAGGTGCCAGGCAACTTTTGAGAACACGTGCTAAGGTTGTTTTTTTCTGACCTGCCTCATGGTCAGGATTCTAACTCAAGGAAACAGCAATTTGCAGTTTTTAAAAAGATGATGAATATTTTTACCTCTGCCTTAAAAAAGAGAACAAAACAAGCACACGCTGAGCCTGGCTTGCTGGGCATAGGGCTGAGTGTGATGCTGATGTGTAACTGCTTAAAAAATCAAGACTGCAAGAAAGGGGTACAGAGAAGGGGAGTCAGAGACACATCTTCCCAGTGTTTACCTTTAATGCTACTAAAGAACAGAAATCGGTGGTCTGTGCCCTGCTGTGAACAGGTACCATCAGTAGGGCAGATAACAGGGGCCTTAAGAGGATTGCCAGACCGGCGTGACTTGCTTCCTTTAAAATATTTTAGCAAATCATACATTCTAATCCTTCTGTATCCTAGTTATTGTTTTTTCATCTTTTGTATTTTTAGGCAATATCTTCCTTTTTTGCATTCATGCAAATATACCATTTTATATCTTCAAGGCTTAAATAAAGCACGCCGGATGGATGAATGTACGGATTTTTCATCTCAGATGAAAAAATCCAGTCCTCTAGAAGGGAGCTGTTGATGTATCTGAAGAATCATTTTCCGATGGGACTATGAGCTCTCTCGTCTCACTTTTACTCCAGTGACCTTTGCACATGCAACTCCTCCTGCCTGCAAGACATCCTTCTTTCCCCTCCCTGGGAAATTCTTATGCATCTCTCACTCTCAGCTTACATGTTCTTTCTTTCCAGAAGCCTTCTGACAATATCCGTCTGCCTGTTCAGACTCTCACCGGCCGCTCACATCACCATAGAACAACACAGGCTACTGTAGTCACTCAGCTTCCTAGTCCGTCTCTCCTGCTACTCAGCAAAGCCCATGAAGACAGGAAGTATTTCTGCCTTACTCATAGTTGGCTCTCATGAAATGCAACAAACACTTACTGATATCTACTGAATCAAAGATCAAAGTGTAGATTTTTGTTTTTTCTTTGAGACAGAACTTCACTCTTCTTGCCCAGGCTGTAGTGCAATGGCTCAATCTCGGCTCACTGCAACCTCTGTCTCCTGGGTTCAAGCAGTTCTCCTGCCTCAGCCTCCCGAGTAGCTGGGATTACAAGCGCGTGCCACCACACCCGGCTAATTTTGTATTTTTAGCTGAGACAGTGTTTCTCCATGTTAGTCAGACTGGTCTCGAACTCCGGACCTCAGGTGATCCGCCTACCTCAGCCTCCCAAAGGGCTGGGATTATAGGCGTGAGCCACCGTACCTGGCCAGATGTCTTAAGTATATACTTAGGGGGAGTAGCTGTATCTGTCTATAGCTCCCAAATAGACCATATCATAGGTAAATGAGATGGTTGGGTAAATCTCCTAAAAAGGAAAAATAAATTACAGGATCATTCACCCCTGAGTGCTTACGAATTCTCATTTTCTGTCTGATATCCCTTTAAAATGTGGTTTTTCTGCATTCTTGCTATTCATCTCTACATTAAATACTTGAGTTATACATTCCCAAGATAATATGCTTACTGTCTGTGCATGAATCTTGTTGGTTGGTTGGTTGTTCTCAAAGTCTCTGTCACCCAAGCTGGAGTGCAGTGGTGCAGTCATAACTCACTAAAGCCTTGACCTCCTGGGATCAAGCAATCCTCCTGCCTCAACCTCCCCATTAGCTCAGACTACAAGTGTGTATCACCACGCCCAGCTAATTTTTAATTATTTTGTGGAGGTGGGGTCTCACTGTTGTCCAGACTGGTCTTGAACTCCTGGCTTCAGACAATACTCCCACCTCAGCTTCCTAAAAGGCTGGAATGCGCATCCACCCCTTAAGTACGTATGGGTTTCTATGTCCGCATACATATACACACACACCCGGCACACACAGCCTTCAGTACTGAGTGGCCTGCCTGAAGAACTGCTCTAGAGAATGAAAGGCAAGAAGGTGAGTTCCTGGCTCGTAAGGGCCCACTCATTTTCTGACTGGCTGTCCGGCACCAAATGATGAAAATGAGGTCATAGCAATGGTTCAGGTTTCTGAACCATTAAAATGGAAATGCTCATCTAAATAAGGCTCTTTCCCATAAAGGATAATGTCAACTATGAAAAAAATCCCTGTGAGCTGCTGCCCCCATTTAGCAGTTCCAACTGGACTGTCTCAGTGCCATTCCAGCAGTACCTAAACAGTCAGCTCCAACACCTGCAAGACAAGCTCTTTCAGAGGGCGCATACCCACTGAGAGAGGCTATTTTGGATGTTTCCTAAACCAAAAGAATAAAGACCAAAAAAAAGGCAGCTTCACAAAGTCAGGATCTGGATGCAGCAAACTTAAATGGTCTTTTTCCTGAAGCCCCCAGAGATAGACTAATCATGGGAATGACGGAAGATGTCTTAAAAATAGTATCGCCATTGTACTTTCAAAATAGCAAATGATATTCTTCTAATGTCCCAAAACAGCTCTCAGAGGAATTAAATAGCTTTCTTCAACTGGCAAAAGTTACAAAACAAAACATAAATTAAACATATTAAAAAATAAAACCAAACACATCTTTGAAGGCAGTGCTGCTATAGACAGACTGAGAGTCAGAACAAAGTTGGTCAACATTCAGGTCATCTACAATTTTGCCAAGAATACAGAAGGCCCGAGTGAACAGGATTAGGCTGGGCACATTTTTCTCTCAATGCACTTTGCTTTGCAGTTATAGAGATAGTCCCCATAATAATTTTCATACAAGAAGCAGGAAGAGAGTTAAGTTTGAGAATGATTGTAAAATATCTGAAGCTATGGAAAAATGATAAGGTCCCTGAAGGAGCAGAATCACAAAGTGTAATGGATTCTGTTTTGCTTTTGTTTTCACTCATCTGACAGATTACAACATCACTTTGGCCATGGAGGAGAAAATACTGCGGTTTTCTTTCCTTGATGCGATCAACAACATCCTAGCTAATTAGTACTAAATCAACTTAGGAGGGAAGAAAACTGTCCAAAAAAAAAAAAAAAAAAAAAAAATTCAAAGGTTTGCTTTATGGGGCAAAGGTGGTTATATATACCCAAAAGAACTGGCACTGTGGCCTGTGACACTTCAAATAAAGCCAGTACCACTTAGTGACCCTCCATGATGCTGACTGGCCCCAAATTGCCAGTGTAAGGAGAGTCAATGGGCTGAAACCAGTATCTCTCAACATTTGCAATCATAGTCTGAGGATGCAAGGACAAGGGAACTTAAAATTCCTAACAGCCTGGGGAATGGCAGCCAGGAGACCTGGCAGAGCTATTGAAAGCATTCACTTTCTGGTTACCAAGATCCATATCTTTTTTTGTTCTCCATCTTTTCTCCCTATTAACCCCCTGTGTCTGCTGATAGGCCTCATGTGTTTTCCTCAATTGGGGATTTTCATGGGGTTCCTGAGTGTTCTGTAGGTGCAGGTGGTAAGAGGACACTTGAAGAACAGCAGCAACAACCAAAGCCCAACACCAGTAAGCACCACTGCCTATTACACTCACAGGGAAGGCTTGGCATGGGTCTAAAAGGAGAGACACACAGCATTGATCATTTTAAGGACAGGCCTGGAAGTGTGGTTAAAACACAGGTTGCTGGGCACTAACCTGAGAGTTTCAAATTCAACAGGTCAGGGCTGGAACCTGAGAACTTGCATTTCTAATCAGTTCCTAGGTGATGCTGATGTTCCTGGTCTGGGACCACCCTTGGTTAACCACTGATAGAGAGAGAGGCTTTAGAAGTGTTTGTGTTTTTTTCTTCTCCCAACATATTTCTTTTGTTTGTTTGTTGTTGAGACAGGGTCTCGCTGTCACCCAGGCTGGGGTGCAGTGGTGCAATCTCGGCTCACTGCAACCACCACCTCATGGGTGCAAGCCTCCCAAGTAGCTGGGACTACAGGTGCATGCCACCACACGCAACTAATTTTTGTATTTTTAGTAGAGATGAGGTTTCACCATGTTATCCAGGCTGGTCTTGAGCACCTGACCTCAGAGGTGATCTACCCACCTCAGCCTCCCAAAGTACTGGAATTACAGGCATGAGCCATTGCACCCAGCCCGTATTTCTGTTTTGAAACAGAACCTCTCCTGATCCCAAACCTCCCCATAGAGCCCCGACTTTGATTAGAGCTAGGGAATCCATTTAAAAATTGGTTTCCTCGAAAAAACAAACTCAAAGCAATGGCAAATCACAAAATGTGGATTGGTAAACATAGTAATGAATAAAATTACATTCAAAAGGTTGGTGTATATGAGATTTTTCTCCCCTACAACCCAGGAAAATAACTGCACTTTATTAATACAGAATAATCACATATTTACCTGCTCATGAGACTATCAACTCACTTTTTAATATAAAGAACATAATTATCACTGAAAAACAAAAATGTAGCAACATCATTATTTTTTTAAGCATGGATAATTTTCCTCTGGAAACTTGATAAAAAATATATATATAAAAAACAGCAATTTAAAATTATTCCCCTTATACATTTTAAACTGAACCCGATGTCTTTCCCACCATTTTGAAAACGGAAGGTGGTCTCTAAAGGAACTCCCGCTGAAGTGTATTTTCACAATGAGCTGATTAAGACAGTGCAGTTGTTTCCCCTTACAACAAACATTTAAAAATAAACTAAACAATTCTAAAGTGAATTAAGTTGCTTACCTTTGAGCCTCGCTCATTAAAAATAATTTCAACATCTAAGATTTTACCAAATTGCTGCAAAGAAATAGAAATATCTTATAAGCAAGAAGAGAAATGCAGTAGACATTATTAGGTACAGTAGTAATTGTTTCTGACGCCAATTTTTTCTCTTAATATCAAGGATATACATTTTATGTTTTATGGCTAATGGGCTTGAAACAAGAGAAAATAAAACCACCCATATTTTCTCCTTATTGTGGAACACACCAACCAGGGCTTGGTACAAAATATTAAGAGGGGAAGTCTACTTTACTTTTTCTTTTCTTTTTTTTTCCTGTGTGCATGTCTGCATTCCCAGGCACTGAGCAGCAAAGATTGAAAAGTGGCTAGTATGTATATACAATGACCCTTCTGGTCTATCCCACCAAACACTGGGAGAAACACCCTTGATAAAATGCGATTTTGATAATCAATGTCCACTGAGAATTTGATGTGACTGGTTTTGACTCCCAGCTCACATAAAATCTAGGAGCAGCTCTATCATATGAGAAAGAAAGTATGAACACAAAAGCAAACTCCACTATCCAGGCACCATCATCATGATGGTATCAGCAGTTGTAATCAGTGCTTGGGCTGAAATTCTCTCAAGATAATTCTCTATATTATTAAACAAACAGATTTTAGACAACTAGCATGACAAGGCTCTATGAAAAGTCCAGAAACAGAGACTCAGATTATAAATAGAGACAAATAAAATGCAGACACCTGGTTAAATTTAAATTTCGGATTTTTCAGGATATGTCACACGCAATATTTGGGACATACTTAATATCTGTGGTTTATTTGAACTTCAAATTCAATGACTGTGTCTTACATATTTTTTAAATCGGTGAAATCTGGAGTTTCCAGTGAGAAATGCACATGAAGCAATTCTTGATTCACGTTTCAAAATGGGGAGTATGGGCCCTACAACTACGGGCATCAGATCATCCGAAATCCTTTCCTCCAACCTTGGAAGTTTTTCAGTTTTCTGAGATTACACGAAGTAGTGTGGGCATTTCTTGAGTATAATAGCCTAACCTGCGTATGAGCAGGCAAGAGAGAGGGTGATGTAAAAAATCATGTACCGTGGCCCAGGGAAAAATAAAATGAGAATTTTATCTCCATGCAGAATGAGAGCAAATGCCCTTTGAGTGATTAAAAATTAAACAGGGCAACATAAATATTTCCATCCTCTTTTTTTGTTTTGTTTTGTTTTGAGCTTTCCTATCATTCCATTCACTTCTGCATTCTGGATTTTAATTGTATCCTTTATGACCCTCAGAGGTTCTGTATTCCATTTCCCCCCCTGAGTGGAGAGCATTACACGTACTTCCGTGTAGCAGAGGACAGAGTGACTGGGGTGAGGGGTGGGGGGCAGGATGAAAAAGGAACAAACAAAAAGACCACACGAGAAGGAGGGGAGCTTTGCCTGACCAATGTGTTCCAGTCAGAGTATCCAGAGACGCAGAGTGAATGTCAAGAGGGTCCTACCAACATTCAAGAAACAAACTATTTAGAACATACAGATGCTATCCTCTGGAATGTACAAAGAAATCCACCCTCCCTGAAACAGGAGAAACAAGTGTGTATGCCACTGGAATACAGACAGCTCAGTCTTGAAATAAAAATAGTTCTGACTATGGAAAAAAGTAACCAAAAGTTTGTCACTCTGTACCATAGAAAATGTGCCCATGCCTCAGGATCCATACACTATCCAGCCAGGGGAATCAGAGACGTGCATATTTCTAGTTGTGAAACAAAGAACTACTAGTACTTCTGCTCAGAGAAGCAAAGGATAGGAAGGAACCAAGGAGAAAATACTCAGAAGAGAATACAGAAACGGGTCACATTGCTCGCACACACAATGGAAATGCCAACAAACATGCAGTTAACTCATCCTGCAATGTGTGGACTCAGATCTTTTGGTCAAGAGAATTCCTTTACAGAGCATTTTCAGTGCCCTAGTTTTAGGCAGAGAAAAATCACTGGAAATAGAAGAAAACTTTCAGATGGGGGAAATGAAGGATTTGCCGTTCAAATGTGAACTGAATTTCATAGTAAAGAAACCTCCGGTTTTGTGAACTCCTCAAGCAGTAATTTTGATACAAACACCCTAGAATATTCAGTCTATACAGACGCTATCATATTTATTTCAGGCATAAGAGCCTAGAAGCACATATATTTACAGAAAGAGAAGCTTGACAAGGACTTCTTCCAAAACCACGATGCAACTGTCATCTATGGAACATTCTCTAGGCAGTCAACCCAAAAACATTTCCTTTAAAATAAGATCTGATTGAGACAGAACCAATCAAACAGCAGTCTTAGCATGTGTCATTCCCTAAATGAAACAATGACATCAGCTGCCCTGAAATGGTCTCAAAGTTTGCTTCTGTGGCAGTTGCTATTAGGTTGACGGTTCTCAAAGCCAGTGAAACAAGCCCGAAGAAGAATGCTGATGTAAGCCCCATTTCCAAGACAGTTGTGTACTATATTTATAGTATCAACAGTTTAATTGGGAAGTTTGCTACTAATGATGTAAACACAGCTGGCACATTTTCAATTTAAATAGACACAACTCATTCGCAGACATAACTAGCATTTGTTTGCTCAACAGCAATGTTCAGCTGCATTCAACAACGCCTCAAATCCACACAAGGTGTCTCAATAGCTGTATCAAGAACAGGATCCAGGCCAGGCACGGTGGCTAACACCTGTAATCCCAGCACTTCGAGAGACTGAGGTGGGCAGAACATGAGGTCGGGAGTTTGAGACCAGCCTGGCCAACATGGCGAAACCGTGTCTCTACTAAAAATGTAAAAATTAGCCAGGCACGCTGGCAGGAGCCTGTTATCCCAGCTACTTGGGAGGCTGAGGCAGAAGAATCACTTGATCCTGGGAGGTGGAGGTGGCAGTGAACCGAGAATGTGCCACTGCGCTCCAGCCTGGGCGACAGAGCGAGACTCCGTCTCAAAAAACAAAACAAGATCTAGAAGTTTACAGGCACACACTTCGGCAAATATATACCAAGCATTTTTAGATATTCTCAGATCAAACAATATTTCTCTGAAAAACTGTGAAGGATGTTCAATGGATACAGCATAAAACATAAAGGTTAGTTCAAAGATTGTACATAGAGGCCAAGGAAAGGCATCATCCCAGTTTTTCTTAGTGTCAGCTTCGTGTTCAGAATGCAGAAATAGAAGGTACCACGCCCTGTCCCACCATAATGGCCTCACTCCTCATAACATCATGGTAGATGGAACTTTGCATTAACATCGTAAGTACAGGCAAGCCCATCTCATTACTAAAAAGTGATCTTGAAATCTTCCTTTGCATGTGCTGAAAGTCATGTGATCTGTTTTTTGTGACAATAAAGAGAGGTTCAGTGGACTATTTTCCTGCCCAGAGGGCCTATATTTTGTTTTCTTGTGTTTTTCAATTTTATTGCTGTAGAAACTGGGTCCCCTATGTTGCCCAGGCTGGTCTCAAATTCTCGAACTCAAGCAATCCTTCCACCTCGGCCTCCCAAAGTCCTGGGATTACAGGTATAAGCCACCACCATGCCTAGCCAAGAGGGTCTGTATTTTGACCCCTAAAGTAAGGCTGCAGAATCAACAAGGGTGTTGTGTAAATTTGAGAACTGCAGTCACTGAGCAACTATTTGACAATTCCGTGATGGCATCCAGAACATCCATCCATCTGTTGTAGCAGAGGTCTGGATATATCACAATCCACTTCTCTCACTTCATACCCAGAATGTTTAAATTTTAAATATTAAGTTAAACATTCTATTCAGGGTACCATATATTGCAATTAATTTGTTAGAAATCCATATATTCCTCTCTTGAGATCATCAAACATTTATCTGTAAAGAAAATGCATGCTCATGCATGATACCTAACATGAAGACAAAGCTCCAGGAAAAAGCCACGTATAAAACTAACATCCCTTCCAATGAACCATTTAATATCAATGCCACTGCACAGAACAGCTCCATTCACTTGGACCTCAACTGGTATTTTTTAAAGACTGTGGCTTCTGCTTTGTATATTGTAGCCACATAACATCTTCCCCAAAGAATGTTCCATCTCAAATGAAAAAAATAAAATAAGATGAGCTAGAAGATTTAAAGCCAAACATGGAAACAAATGCTTCCATTGAGTAGAAAGTAAAGAATATGAAGCACAAGGTGAAAAAGGTAAGCAGAATCCCAATCTTCATGAAGAATTGCTGAAGATACAAATTAAAAATAAAATGAGTCACCTGCAGTAACCATTAGGCATGCAATGGTTGCAGATGGCATGGTCGAATTATTAATGGTTACAGATGTTGTAATGACCACTGCCAAGTTTCAGGCAGTTTGAAGAAGGAGGTTGCTTTTTTGTCTTGTTTTGCTTTTGACTTTAAAATCCCATGCCTGTATTTAACAAGAGACAAAGAGGAGGGGAAAAGCACAAAGATCTTTGTGACTGTTTATCTCTGTAATTGTCCTCACTGTAACCCCTGTCAAAGTGGGAAGACAAAGACAGGACAGAGCGCCAAAAGGAGAGAAGATGTCTCATGTCCAAATGATGTGAGAAGTACCTAATTGGAGTTAAACTGTAGTTTCTTGCAGTAACTATGACCTGAAAGAGGAAACCCTCCTAAATTCCCTAAACTCCTGTGCGGGGAGCCAATGAGAATGTTTACAGATGCTTCACAATGTGATTCCTGCCGCTAAATGTATCCTATAACAAGAATGACTCTGTGACCACCAACGTTTGGCAGGAAAGAACAGATTTTTAGTGCATAAAACTGCATTTCTTTAGAATGGCGGTTGTAAAGTATGGAGGCTTAAGAGTCATTACAAGGGAGTCTGTGAATCTGTACATTCCTGGTACTTTTATAGACAAAATTTACAGAAAAAATAAAGCTTTCAAAAAATCTTTCAGAAAAAAATACTTTCAAAAAATGGACACAGATGCTACTTGTGATGAACAAGGTTAAGTTTATGCTACTGAATGCATGGTGCAATCTCTTAATTGATAGGCATTAAGTGTATCTATCATCTTGTCAAATTGACATCTTGTCACTTGCTTGAAAATCTTGACTATAAAGTGGTGGCACACACAGGTAGTCCCAGCTAGTCAGGAAGCTGAGGAACGAGAATCGCTTGAACCCAGGAGAAAGACTGCAATGAGCTGAGATCATGCCACTTCACTCCAGTCTGGGTAACAGAATTAGACTTTGTCACAAAAAAAGGGGGGTGCTGGATATGTGCAGTGGCTCACATCTCACGCTGTAATCCCAGCACGTTGGAAGGCCAAGGTGGGAGGGTTGATTGAGGCCAGGAATTTGTGAGCAGCCTGGACAACGAAGTGAGACCCCCATCTCTATTAAAAACAAAACAAACAAACAAAAAAAACTTCAAAATTAGCCAAGCATGGTGGCTTGTGTCTGTAGTCTCAGCTACTTAGGAGGTTGAGTTGGGAGGATCCCTTGAGCCCAAGAGTTTGCAGTGAGCATGATCACACCACTGCACTCTAGCCTGGGTAACAGAGTGAGAACTTGTCTTTTTAAAAATAAGAGCCGGGCCAGGCGCGGTGGCTCAAGCCTGTAATCCCAGCACTTTGGGAGGCCGAGACGGGCGGATCACGAGGTCAGGAGATCGAGACCATCCTGGCTAACACGGTGAAACCCCGTCTCTACTAAGAAATACAAAAAACTAGCTGGGCGTGGTGGCGGGCGCCTGTAGTCCCAGCTACTCGGGAGGCTGAGGCCGGAGAATGGCGTGAACCCGGGAGGTGGAGCTTGTAGTGAGCTGAGATCCGGCCACTGAACTCCAGCCTGGGCGACAGAGCGAGACTCCATCTCAAAAAACAAAACAAAACAAAAACAAACAAAAAAAACAAAAAAAATAAGAGCCGGGCTGGGAGCGGTGGCTCACACCTTTGGGAGGCCGAGGTGGGTGGATCACAAGGTCAGGAGATCGAGACCATCCTGGCTACAATGGTGAAACCCCGCCTCTACTAAAAATACAAAAAAATGAGCCGAGCGTGGTGGCGGGCACCTGTAATCTCAGCTACTCGGGAGGCTGAGGCAGGAGAATGGAGAGAACCCAGGAGGCGGAGCTTGCAGTGAGCCGAGATTGTGCCACTGTACTCCAGCCTGGGCAACAGAGTGAGACTCTGTCTCAAAAAATAAATAAATAAAAATAAAAATAAACAAATAAATAAAAACAAGCTCCCTGAAACTAGTAGATTTGGATCAAGGTTTGATGACAGGTAGTACAATTTTTTGGCAAGATCTTGCTCCTTGCCGTCTACCTTAACTCTACAAGACTAGAGAGACTCAGAATCCCTTCTCTGATTCCTGCGAATATTTTGAATACCTCTGTGACTTAGCATTGTAGCCTGCAGTAACTTTCACAATAACTAAGAAAACCATGGGGGGAAAGCCCCCTTAGGGGTGGAACTTGGGGTGAGCTGCAATGAGTGACACCATGAAAGAGTGTCAAGATGCTCATTAAGGGGACTGAATTCAAAGCCAACATCACAGTGACACTTGATGAGAAAAAACAGACTGCACAGCAAGACATCTTCCTAACCTGACATGGCAAAGAGCATATAACACCTCTTACTGCCCATCATTCAAACCTGGTCTTACCACCTCACACACACTTAACCTCAACTCTCACTTTGAATGCTCTGCACTTTTCAAAGTCATCTTTGACCTGAAAGTGCCCGAGGGTATCTCTGTTCTGCAGGAGTTGGAGGGGCTCAACACAAGGTTATTACCAAATGAGAGAGATAAAAGTGCAAGAGCTGACCTTTTCCTCTTAAATGTCAGCATTCAAAGCTGGGTATCTTAAATATTAGGATGCCTGCTCTGCTTTTGTGTCAGATGCATACTTGATAAGCATCGTGTGTGTAAGAAGTAAAAGGTGCAAGCTAATCCCCAACACACAGTGCCTCTGAGTAGTGAACCAGAGCCTTCCATTTTATACGGAGAACACCACCAGAGTGACTCAGAATGGGCATCTTCTTGTTCCTTTTGTGATATTTGCATCCATTTATAAACTCCTAGAGGAGGAGTCTCTGAGCAGCCCACCTTTGCTCTAAGTCAAATGTTAAGGATGTAATTCTTTTCACGGAATCCACAGGCACCTGCTCTCATTGCTGGGATGTCATGGGCAAATTGGATACATTCACAAATGTGAAAGATATCCAAGCCCTGTCATAGCCTTGTCCTTTGGTTGAACGGAGGTCAAAGAAATGGCAAACTCATGGCTTCCCAAAGTGGATAGTGAAGATATCTTTGAGAAAAAAATAATCAGGGGCAAGATGACCTATAAAAAAGCAATGCTATTATTTTCTCCTGGGCTAGTGGTGACTTGTGGCCTGCTCTGTATTTCACCATGGTGCCTGGGCACGGCTACCCTTCATGGCATATAGCACCACAGTAAGTGCCTCTGAATCCTTGTCACTGATTTCAGAAGAATGTAGACTTCAGGAATCAACATGAACTTAGAAACTGGTAGCTCATTTGGTGTTGGTGGTGGTGGTTTTGCTTTGTTTGCTAAAATCAGCTTTATGCAGAATTAGTTGTTCTGTTGCTGCATCTGAAATCTCAATGCACAGTGCCTGGGAAAGACTAGGGAATGCAGGAATACACTATGAGTCACCCTCTGGATAATCGGACAACTGCAAAAGAAAGCAAAACCAAGAGGACTCGGGGTGTATTTTTGCTACAGTATGATATCCTGGGCCATTGGATTTAGGACCATCAATAGGCTTCTTTCAGCAGTGGGTCATTTAGGAATGTTTTCCATTTGGCCTTCAAGTTACTTCTTAGAAGAAAACCACTTGGCAAAGTAGATACATGGTGAGCATATGTACAGAAATACATGCTGAAACCATAGAGATTCTACCCACAACATACCCAAAAACTAGACTCTAAAATGTTTCTCCCCGTGCAAACATCTAACCTTAGTATTGTAAATACCCCCAAACTTACACGAGACAGGGAGGTCCCTGGAAACCCCAGAGCGGGCACTGCTGAGAAGAAAGGTGGTACTTACACCAAACATTTGTCTGAGGTCCGGATCCCGGAACCTGAAGGGGATATTGGAGACATGCAGCCGCTTGGGCTGAGACTTGTTTTCCGTGTTTTCAGACGGTTGTGTCTGGGGCTGGCCATCCGTTGGTGCTGCATCATCTGTCTGCTAAAAGAACAAGAAGAAATCGAAGAGGTTGAGTGGACCACAATGCTCTGTTCCAATGCGCTTTTGCTTGCCCTGAGTGGCAGGAAAATATCAAAACTAAGGAATCTGAGAAGGGAAGAAAATGCTGAGGCATGCATGCATGCATGCATTCATTCAACAAGTGTTTTCTGAGCATCCACTGAGTGCTCATGATGAATCTGGGATTGGGCAGTAGGCAAAGCAGACAAAAATCCCTGCCCTCGGGGAGCATCATTCCAGATAATAAATCCATAGAGTGTTGGCAGACAGAGAAAAGCACTATAGGCTAGAAAAAGAAAAGGAAGGTGACTGGGAGTTGCTGGGGTTGGGAGGTGGGGAGCGGGAACCTCATCAAGAAGGGGGTAATAATTATTACAGGCAGGAGACTGTGTATTTCTTAACTGATGCGGTTCAGAATCTGAAGATACGCCTACATAATTGTTCAGGTAACTGTGCAGATAAAATATAATTAAATGTAAAAAATTTGAAAAGACTAGTTGGCATTCTGGAGTTCAAATAACCAGCTGATTGACTTATTCTTTTGAGGCTCTAATTGTACAAACTTCTGCTGTCCACTACAGTTGACCACATGTGACAATTTACATTTAACTGGATTAAAATGAAATATTTAACTTCGTTTGCATTAGCTACATTTCAAGTGCTCACGAGCCACATGTAGTTAGTGCTTCCATGCTGAGTAATGCAAATACAGAATGTTTCCATCTCTACAGAAAGTTCTGCTGTGCTGTTTGCCTAGACCGTGTAACATTATTAGCATAACTCATTGTTTCACCACCCCTACCTTCCAAATAAGGCTGTATAACATGATGTTACATTGACACCCATATATAGGCAGGAACTAGGGGAAAAGTCACAGTCACATTAGGTATCATTATAGCCACTGCCATACTCTCAGTTCTAGAGTTTTAACATTTCAAACATTTGATACTTTCTCTGCAATTAGCACGTGTTGCCTCTAGGTGGCAGTAAATGCCATCCACATCAGATACCAACTTTGAAACTATGATAGAAAGCTTATGCAGAAGCCTATCAAATTTATGAGTGAGGAATCATCTTCACCTATTTATAAGCAATCTAGAAGTACATAATTGGGACGAAACTATCAATGTAGGCAGCCAGGTGTAAAATAATAACGACTTAGAGGAGAGAATCTTACAAAGTGAAATACAAAACAAACACTCAGATAACACGGGCATAATTAGCAAGTTTCTCAACAGCCCTGGTATTTACTGGAAGGTTTCATTTGCATTTTCCTTCCTAACACACCCTGAATTGCATGTTGAAGTAAAGACTTCCCGTTGGCTCTCAAACCATTCTTCCAAGTTGCTCTGGTACCAAAAGCCCTACCAGTTGACTTCTTCAAGTTTTAAGTGCAAAGTCATGTATTTAGACAATGTATTTAGTCTTTTTGCCTATACTGTTGGATTGAATATGAAGCAGTATGATTGTCATTTTCTTAACTGGAAAATAAAGAATAATGAGTTCATACATTTTAAGGCTTTGTGATTGAATAATGTATGCTAACTTGGCCAAGTTCCTGGTAGATATTCAATAAATGGAAAGTAACGAACTGTCTAGAGTAATGGTAATTTTTTTAAATACCAAAAAGAGAAATAAACCTCCTTTGAGAAACACACAGGAAAGGTTGTCATTTGCTTATTTTTAAACTGTTTACACATCTTTACTGAGCAACTGCTTTGTGTTAGATACATAAGTCAGCCCTCCAAGTCACATGCAATTCCAACTTTAGTGAATGACACCAATAGAGAAAGACAACCATAAATAGACTCACTTTGTCATTGGTTTTTGTTGTTTTCTTGGAGTTGGGTCTTGGTCTGTCACTCAGGCTGGAGTGCGGTGGTGCAATCATGGCTCAATGCAGCCTTGAAACCCTGGGCTCAAACAATCTTCCCACATCAGCCTTCCAAGTAGCTAGGACTACAGGCATGGGCCACCACACCAAGCTAATTTTTATTTGCAGAGACAGGGTCTCACTATGTTGCCCAGGCTGGTCTTGAACCTCTGGCCTCAAGTGATCCTCCTGCCTCAGCCTCCCGAAGCACTGAGACTACAAGCATGAGCCACCATCCCCAGCCAATACAGACTGGTAAATGTTGGGATAAGAGGCAATCCCAAAGGGCTGAGTAACCTTAAATCAGGGTCATATAACACTGCTGGAGGTTCAGCAAGGCTTGCCAATTCTGGAGGTTAAATTTTAAGTGGGAGATATCTAAGAGAAGAGGTGAAAAGGACTGAGGTTATACCGAGAGAGGGCAGCGTATGTGCAGAGATGTCAAATGATGTCTTGGATTCAGAGAGTATGTGTGGCTCCAGCACCACTGGTCAGATGAGGCAGGTATGAAGGGAAGGCAGGAGTTGAGGTTTCAAAGATAGTCAAGGGGCTACATCAAAGGACACTGTGCAAAGCAAGAGTCTGAGCTTCATCCTAAGAGCAATAAGGAGCCACCTAAGGATCACAGCAGGAGGGTGGTATGACCAGCTTGTGACACAAATGATAAATGTCTGTTTAATGGTTGGCTGACTCACTGACCGAAAGTACATGAATAAACAAATGAATGAAGAAGTGTACAATCAACGTCACCACCTTCATGTGATAGTTGAAGAACAACGTTGTAACACTGAAACCCAAACAGAGCAGAATGTGGGTTTTCTCCGCTGAGAATACGAGGTTTGGTGCCATGTCCATGACACAGAAATGAGCTTGAATCATGCAACTGTCCTTTTTCAGATTGTAAGGGGTTTTAGCACTCTACACCCGGACTCGGAGTTTACAGATGCTATAGCTGAAACCCCCAGCTTTCAGTCCATTTATTTTTCCATCCTGTTAGAAGTTTCTGTTTCAATGCAAAAATAAAATGAGCTCCTTCTTATCCTGAGAAGGAAACATAGATTTGGATTTGTGTACAACTGCTGGATGTTTCAGCTTAATGAACCTAATTAGGAATTACAGAGATTATGATTAAACATATTAAATGATTAATAGCATTGTGCCACTCAGGTGAAAATTAAAATTAATCATCTCTAGTCAAACAGCACTTTGGAGAAATCTTTGCATTGTTTCCTTTGATAAAAACATACAATGCTCAATTAATCATTTTATAGTATATGCTTATATACAAATGCCTATAAATTGTTACAGAGAAATACCTGTGTATTAAAAAGAATCCTTAAAGAAAGCATGCAAAATTTAAAAAAAAAAAAAAAGTGAGCCAAAAGTGTTTCAGGTCATTGTGGGTGTATGGAAAGGGAAAAAGAGGAGTGTTAGGAATTAGAGGTTGAGGAGTGAAGAAAACAACAGAAAAAGGAAATCTCTTTCAGCCTGCATGCCTTTTATGTGGTGGGATGCAGCACAATGAACCAGGGTTTTGGAATCACGCAGACCATCTCTGTTATTTGCTAATCTTAGGCAGGTCACTTTTCTTCTCTGACCCTCAGTTTACTTTTCCATCAAAGGACATTAATGGGGTAATGGGGCCAGGTGCAGTGGCTCATGCCTGTAATCCCAGCACTTTGCGAGGCTAAGGTGGGAGGATAATTTGAGACCAGCCTGCAAAATAGTGAGACCCTGTCTCCACTAAATAAAATTTTTTTAAAAAGCTGATTATGGCCATGTGCCTGTATTCCCAGCTAGTTGGGAGACTGAGGTGGGAGATGGCCGGAGCCCAGGAGATGAAGGCTGCAGTGACAGAAAGTCACACCACTGCACTCCAACCTGGGCAATGGAGCAAGACTCTGCCTCTAAAAAACAAAAACAAAAAGGACACTAATGGTACTAAGCTCACAGGATCGTGGGAAGGACCAAATGCAGCAGGAGATGACAGAGCAGCTACCACAGAGCCTCATGCACGTTGGGGTTAGTGATTGTCACCAACCCCTCCACTGAGTGTGATCTGTTTTTCTTCCCCTTTTTCTGGGACCTTAGAATAAGCCTGAGTTTTATGTCTCTATATTGTTTTCTGAAAGATGACCACAAAGCTGATGGCTTAAAGCCACTGGACTTCATTCTCCTGTAGTTGTACAGACCAGAAATCTAAAATCAAGGTGCCAGGAGGGCCACATTCCCTCTAAAAGATCTAGGGGGAGAATCATGCCTTGCCTCATTTAGCTTTTGGTAGCTGCAGGCATTCCTTGACTTGGGTTTGCATCCTTCCAACCTCTGCTTCCATCTTCACAGGCCCTATTCCCTCTACATGGCTGAAACTCCAATTTCCCTCTTCCTTTTTCTTCTTACAAAGATACTAGGGTCGGGCGTGCGGTGGCTTAAGCCTATAATCCCAGCACTTTGGGAGGCTGAGGTGGGCAGATCACAAGGTCAGGAGTTCGAGACCAGCCTGACCAAAATGGTGAAACCCCGTCTCTACTAAAAATACAAAAATTAGCCAGGTGTGGTGGCACACACCTATAATTCCAGGTACTCAGGAGGATGAGGCAGGAAAATTCCTTGAACCCAGGAGGCAGAGGTTGCAATGAGCTGAGATTGCACCATTGCACTCCAGCCTGGGTGACAGAGCGAGACTCTGTCTCAAAAAAAGATATTAGTTGTTGAGCCCACCCTAAATCCAGGATTATTTTATCTTGATCCTTAATTACATCTGCAAAGATCTCCTTCCCCTCCCCTCCCCCTGCCAAATAGGATCATGTTTATGCAAGTTATGACAAGGACATAGTTTTTGGAGGTCACCATTCCCTCTACTACATCTCTCCACCAAACATATGAATCAAAGGTGCATGGAGTACAAGCAAGCAGCTGTCACCCAGGAGGAAATGCGTCCTCCACCACTTCAGGCAGCATGAAGTTCTCACAATGAGTGGCCTCAAAGCAGATCTAGGAGAAGGTGGAATGAATGTTCCTGCCAGGCTGTCATCTGTCAATAGGAGTTGTCATGGTTAATATTGAGTGTCAACTTGATTGGATGGAAGGATGCAAAGTATTGGTCCTG